GCACGTGGACAGAGAGACTGTAACCAGTACTGTGTTGAGGGGTGCCAGTGTGACCTAGGCTTTGTGGTCAACGGCAAGAGTTGTATCCTCAGTCAGAACTGTGGATGCTACACGGATGGTAAATACTATGAGGTAAGACAGCATGCCCCCCCTTTTTTATACCAGCTTTTATATGGACAACCCCCACTCATGTTGTCCAGAAAATGTAGAGAGCTAGCATTCCTCTTCTGCCTTTTCTTGTAACGCAAATATGTTGTTGTTGTTGTTGTTGTTTTCACTCTATTTTCTCAGCCTAAGCAGTTGTTCTGGAACAGTGACTGCACTAAACGCTGTCAGTGTATTGGACGGAATCTGATTCAGTGTGACCCAAGGCGATGCAAAGCAGAGGAGGAATGTGTTCTACGTCATGGTGTGCGAGGATGCTTTGCCCGACGTAATCAGCACTGTGTAGCATCGGGTGGCGGCGTCTTCCGTACTTTTGATGGTGCCTCTCTTCGTTTACCTGCCTCATGCTCCTTTGTTCTTTCAACGATCTGTCACAAGCTGCCTGAGTTATCTTTTCAACTCATTGCCAATTTTGACAAGTGGAGTACACCCAACCTAACCACCATCTCCCATGCTTACCTCTACATCAACGAGGAGAACATTCTCATCTCCGGAAACACAGTCAAGGTAGGAACAACGAATTTGTTTGGCAAATTATGTATGGGACAGGACATCACACAGGTGAAGTGGTCTTGAATTTCCTAGGAGAATTTAAAGGAGAAACTGGTATTTCAAAATGAACATTTAGAGCAGAGTGTCTCAACCTCTCAAGCCTTCGAGGTCCACTGTCCTGCAGAGTTGAGCTCCAACCCTAATCAAACACATCTGAACAAGCTAATAAAGGTCTTCAGGAGGATTACTAAAATGTTATAAGCAGTTGAGTTTGATCAGGGTTGGAGCTACACTCTACAGCAGGGCTGGGCAACTTCTGTCCTGGAGGGCCACTGTTTTGCAAAGTTTACCTCCAACCCTAATCAAACACACCTGTCTGTAGCTTTCTAGTGATCTTGAAGACATTAGCTTGTTCAGGTGTGTAGTACACCCAACCTAACCACCATCTCCCATGCTTACCTCTACATCAACGAGGAGAACATTCTCATCTCCGGAAACACAGTCAAGGTAGGAACAACGAATTTGTTTGGCAAATTATGTATGGGACAGGACATCACACAGGTGAAGTGGTCTTGAATTTCCTAGGAGAATTTAAAGGAGAAACTGGTATTTCAAAATGAACATTTAGAGCAGAGTGTCTCAACCTCTCAAGCCTTCGAGGTCCACTGTCCTGCAGAGTTGAGCTCCAACCCTAATCAAACACATCTGGACAAGCTTAATAAAGGTCTTCAGGATTACTAAAATGTGATAAGCAGTTGAGTTTGATCAGAGTTGGAGCCACACTCTACAGGAAAATGGAGATTGAATCCAGAGTTGAGAAACCCTGCTTTAGAGGATGGATTTTGCGATTGTTTTTTATGTTAACTATGAAACTACTCTATGATGATTAAGACATTAAATGTCTCCTAGCTAAATGCTAAGTGTTTTCCTCTTTTACCTCAGGTAAATGGTACGCCCGTGTCCGTACCTTTTGTCACAGGTCTAATGACACGAGTATCCACATCAGAGGGATTCCTGGTGATCGACACTCCCCAGGACATCCAGGTGCGTTATAACAGATTCAACATCCTCAGCATTACAATGGGCCCTCGGCTGCAGAACAAGGTGTGCGGACTGTGTGGGAACTTCAATGGGGACCCCACTGATGATTATATCACCTCTCGTGGAAAACCTGCCGTCAGTGCACTGGAGCTCGCTCAGAGTTGGAAAACCAATGGCATGCAGAACAGGTTAGCAAGAAAAAGTGTGCCGTTATATTTATCACTCATCTAATTAGTTTCACCCTGTACTTATTACATTGCCACTCATTTTCTATCCTCCATTGCCTGACTCTTGCCTGTAGTTGTGATGAGACGCAGTATGTGGCCCTGGCTCAATCCTGTGATAATACAGCAGTATCAGAGCTCCAGGGAGAAGAAAACTGTCTGAAGCTCACAGATTTTAAAGGTTTCTTCCAGCCCTGCCACGGCCTACTGGACCCTCACCCCTTCTACCAGTCCTGCTACATGGACGGTTGCTACAACCACCGTAAGGCCCAGGTGTGCGGCTCGATGGCAGCCTACGCTGAGGCCTGCCGCTCTTTCGGCACACTTACCACCAAGTGGATCGCCCAGGAGAACTGCTGTAAGAGGACGCTGCCACCTACAGGATAAGATGGAGAAGTGTAGAAAGTGAAAGGCAGCACAGCTCAATTGTCATTTTTAGAAGTACATTTTATATGTATTATTTGTCTTATTATTTTTTGTCCATGCTTCCAAGATTATCACAAGTCACTTTCACAATTTTGACAAAACTGAAATATTTTATTAGAAACTTTCTGTGCTAACTTTGTAACTGGACCTGTCTTTAGCAGAATGGATCTATGACCCCTGTGCAGGAGAGATCTGCTCTAACAACACGTGTGAGCAGGAGAATGGAGGAGATTTGTGTGGCTGCCCTGAGCTACCCAGCACTGACATTAGTGAGTGAAACAAATATATAAATCCAAATAAATATAAATCCTTTGTAGGGTCTCTTTGAAGTTGTTTTTATCATAATTGCTCATACTTAAAAGTAGTATACCAGTCACATTATCCTGCACTAGTTACTTTTTATGTTATAGCAGCAGGCTAACTGCTAAAATAAAAGGTCACATTGAATTGGTATGAAATATTGAGAAAAGATAATACAGAACATCTTGTTTTTGTGGTGTAGGTGAGGATGACATCATCCAGGCAGAGGTGACCTGTAAACACGCTCAGATGGAGGTTTCTATCTCTAAGTGCCGTTTGTTCCAGTTGGGCTTTGAGAGAGAGGATGTACGAATTAACGACCAGCACTGTGCTGGTATCGAGGGAGAGGATTTCATCTCGTTCCATATAAACAATACCAAGGGACATTGTGGCTCTATTGTACAGGTGAACAAATCCCTCTTTTCCCTCATTAACAATTGTTCAGGATCAGACTGTCTCAGTTTAGACACTAAGAGCTCTGCCTCTTGAGAGAGTGGAAAGTACTGGTCCTGGTAAAGAAAATGAACTGTTCCATTCACATCCATTTACATATATGTGAATACAAGCAAAGAAGTTCAGGTTTGGTGCACATTTGTATAGAGAAAAGACACTTGAGAAATAGCTTAGACCAGCTAGGACAGCTTAAAGGGATAGTTCACCCAAAAATGAGAATTCTGTGGTTGACATCTGTGGTTCAACTTTAATTTTATGAAGCTATAAGAATGCTTTTTGTGTGCAAAGAAAACAAAAATAACGACTTTTTTCAACAATTCTTCTCTTTCGTGTCAGTCTTCGCCACCATTCACGAGAGTTCCATGATGCTTGCGTGTGGTGCTGCTGACACAGGAGCTGGCATTTACAAGTAGAGGAATGCACACGCATGCGTTGTGGTACTAACATGAATGTTATTTTTGTTTTCTTTTTGCACAAAAAGTATTCTCGTAGCTTCATAAAATTAAGGTTGAACCACAGATGTCACATGGACTATTTTAACAATGTCCTCACTACCTTTCTGGGCCTTGAATGTGGTAGTTCCCTTGCTGTCTATGCCGGGTCAGAAAGCATTCTTAATGCACACTTTAATTTGGGGAATAATTTTACCTTCTGAGAAACCTCTTTTCCACTGAAAATTGAGGCATTTTCATGCAGATCTTTTGCTGTCTTGCGATGAGTTCAGCGAAGAGCTTTCTTCCAGTATGGCGGACGGAACCGACGAAAATACTATAAAAAATGTTATAACGTTACAACGAGTCTCTTGTGTGGGTCATGTGAAGAGAGCTGTCATGCATGAACGACCACCTATAAAGTGTGTCCAAAAAAACTATTTAAGCAGGAGTTCTTGTCTTCTTTATTTTGGTTTAGATATAACCGTAGAGCTCTAATAGAGTTTTTGGAGTTAAGCATTCAAAATATGTTTTTTCATTAAACCATCCATAATTCAATACTAATGAGCTGAAGTTAGTCTTATGGTTTGATAAATATTACAACATTTTTTGAGGACAAAATAGTCTTTCTGGTTCACTGTATAAGATTATTAAATGTTTGCTGATTTAGTTCTAAATTACTCAGGTTGGTACACAATACATTTTAAAACTGCTTTCCAAATGTGTTTTCAACTGAGATCTTTTGCAACTATTCATGACTTTCAGATTTACAGCAGAAGATACTATTCTCATTGTGTTTTTGCTTTTCATAATCTAATTTTCATTGTGTGCACTTGATGTGCTGTCTGCTTTGCTGAATATGTTATTTTCTGTGGAAAGGTAATTAAATTCACAGTAACTTTATGTGTGTGTTCATGTGTGTGTATTTGTGAGTCTAGTCGAATGGAACACACATTATGTACAAGAACACGGTGTGGATCGAGAGTGTGAACAACACAGGGAATGTAGTGACACGTGATAAGACCATCAATGTGGAGTTTTCTTGTGCTTATGAACTGGACATCAAGATCTCCCTGGAGACGGTATTGAAGCCAATGCTCAGGTCAGACATTCACCCCTCACAAAAAAACCCCCAAAAACTACCACTGTATTACCATGTTATTTGTGTATCATGGAACAACCACATTTATTATCATAAATGACAAGCACGATATAGATAACATAATATGATAAGGATAAAATGATAAAGATAAAAACTCCCTTTTTCTATTGTCCAAAGTGTAATAAACCTCACTCTACCGACCCAAGAGGGCAACTTCATCACAAAAATGGCCCTTTACAAGAACGCCTCATACCGACATCCATACCGTGAGGGAGAAGTGGTGCTGAGCACCAGGGACATTCTGTTTGTGGGGGTGTTTGTGGAAGGAGCAGATGATAAACAGCTTATTCTCATTGTGAACATGTGCTGGGCTACACCATCTCGTTACAGCAGCGATCGCCTTCGTTACATTATCATAGAGAGAGGGTAAGCAAATAGCTCATGAAAAGAGCCATACATATATTTCAATACATATTTAACATAATAACATATTCAAATACCGCACAAAGTTCAGAAGAGGACTACACAACCAAATACATACCAATGAGTTTACAGCTCTCACATGCCTGTAATTCCAGGTGTCCTAACATCAAGGATAATACTATAGGCATGGCTGAGAATGGCGTGTCCCTCACCTGCCGCTTCCACGTCACTGTCTTTAAGTTCATTGGTGATTATGATGAGGTGCATTTGCATTGTGACGTCTCTCTTTGTGACTCAGAGACCAACACCTGCAAAGTGGTGAGAGCTTGTATACACACACACATCGACAAACACCTTTTAATTTTTAGCTGTTTTGCCATTTACAACAATAGAGACAATGGTAAAGGGGGTTGGTACATAATGTGCCACTAAAACATGGCTTGGTCTGACAAATACAAACATGATTTAGTGTGAATTTGGTGATGTTTTTGCATCTTGTTCATCTCTCCATCAATCATCTTGAATAAGTGCTTCTTTTGGATTCAAAATGGCTTTTTGCTTTTACAGAATTGCCCTCATAACAAACGAAGTTATACAGATTACAGTCAGCATAAAGAACAGATCCTATCAGTGGGACCAATCAGAAAAAGAGGTATGGAGTATATTTTAGATTTATGCATGAATGCATGACCTGTGTGTGTGTGAGAGAGAGAGAGAGAGAGAGAGAGAGGAATGTGTGTGTAGTTTAATAGTGGAGGCAATAGAATGTGGGTGTATAATTGGGTGTTTTGTGTATGTGCGTATTAGCAAGGTGATTAATAGCAAGCTATAACAGTGTGTGTGTGTGTGTGTGTGTGTGTGTGTGTATTTTAGATTCAGACTGGTGTGAAGAGGATAATGGTGGCTGTGAGCAGATCTGCACAAGTCAAGTAACAGGCGGGTGTATAATTGGGTGTTTTGTGTATGTGCGTATTAGCAAGGTGATTAATAGCAAGCTATAACAGTGTGTGTGTGTGTGTGTGTGTGTGTGTATTTTAGATTCAGACTGGTGTGAAGAGGATAATGGTGGCTGTGAGCAGATCTGCACAAGTCAAGTAACAGGCGCTGTGTGCAGCTGTGTGACAGGAATGCTGCAAAGAGATGGGAAGAGCTGCCGAGGTAAACTGCGAATACACACACACGTGCTGTTTTCACATTTTTAATAGGTGAACATTGCCTAAAGTGGCATGCTACAAAGAGTAAAATATCCCAGCGCTGTAATACTAATTATTAGCACTCTTGGAACACAGTACTACTGCATGGGTGACATTGCTTTTATGCAATAGTAAAAAAAAAAAAAAAAAGCAACTTAAATTAAACTTACATTTTAAACACAATATTGCCAGTTACTTTTAAAATGTTTCTCCACTAAAGAAAATAGTTACAAACAAATCACAGCAGAATGGAGTAGTGGAGTCCCTATGTATTTTTGTAAGCCAACCCAAAAGTTGTAGAAGCAAAAAATAAAAGTAAAAAACCCATTGAATTTAGGACGTTAAAACCAGAAGTGCTAAAATGCTAACTCATCAGGTTTTGCCTGCAACACTCTGTTAACCAAGTGTATCTGACTGTAGTACGAGTTATGCCTACTACAAAAAACAGCCAACTATGGAATGTCATCAGAGCCCTTCCCCTAGGAATCACTGGCTATATCCAAAATACCCTGTTACCTACATTACTCCACTAATATAGTCCACTAAAAAGGTGAATGAAAATGAGTGAGCACATTTGGACACTGAATGCACCAGAAGTTCTGCAGATGCCATCTTCTGGTGAGACACAGGAATTAATTTGACTTGAGCTCACAGTAAATGGGTATTCTCTAGCGGCTAGCCATTCATTGTACATTGGCTGTACGCTTATTATTGAAGTACATTATGGTATTTAGTGAATGCATTCGATAAAAACATTACAAATGGCTGTTCCCTCAAATAGCGCACTATATTACGGTATAGGGGGTGATTTCAGACACAGCCACTAATTTTTTTAATAGTGCTGCTCTTCTTCAACTTTATTTTCCTTGCTTTTATTCTACATAAATATAATATTTGAAAGCAATATAATTTTGCCTTAAAAACATTTCATACATAAAAAAATGAAAATGACTTAAACGTACTTGATAATATGTAACTTGAAGTTGTAGATCCACTCAGAATCAGAACTGGCTTTTGTAAGTTTATTCATTTTTCTTTACCGGAGGTTTGTCATTATACTGCTGTATGTCCATTTATACATTTTTCACATTTTCCATTTATTATAACTGTAGTGTCATCATCACACACTCTTGTACACTGCACTCACACAAATATATCCTCTGCATATTAAATGTCAGCAGCATCATCTGTTGATGTCCTGGTCCTCTGTAACTCTAAACCAAAGTGAGTCATGTCCATTCTTCATGACTTCACTATGAAGTCCCATTACACGCAACACAAATTGTAAACTCCTTGACCCACCGTTCTCATGAATCTCTCCTCTTTTTCTATTTCTTAACAGTCACCAGTATGAGTACTGACCTTCAACCCCTGCTTCTTCTGATAGCTGTTGTTGTAAGCGTCAATATCTTACTGCAAACACACACCTCAGTTTTCTTCTCTTAACACCCACCAAGCAAGTTCAAGGGAGAGAGAGGCGTATACCGACGAAAGGGAAGAGAAAAGAAAAGCAAAACGGAGCCAGTGAAGGGATATGCATGTGATGCATCAGCAGTCCTGCAGTGAGGACCACCTCTGAGCAGTTCCCTTCATCGAAGTGAAAACTGTGATCAAATGTAACCAAGTGATCCTTCACCAGCTGGACATCTCAAACATAAACAACATGCCTCGATCCAATATGATAACCTGACTTCCTTCAGACCCTGAAAAAAATCCCAAATCTTTTCTTTGGCACAACATCTAAACACCAGAAACCAAAAAAAAAGAGAAGCAAACTGTCACTTTGAAACGTAGTGATAAAAAGACAACTACTGAATATTTTCCAGCTACTAATGACAGATTAGCAAGATTTACATATTAGATGATGCATTTCCCTAAAAGAAAAAAAATCACTGAAACGTGAGAGCACGTGTTGCAAGAATGGATGATAATTCTCAACACCAGTTATATTGTTGTTGTTTTTATTTAGTTGATTTGATGAAATGCATACCCTATCTTGATCTATTTCTCAATATGCCATGTTGTTTCTTATTTAAACCCATTTTTTTTGCCATACTAAAGTATTGCTGAGATCAAAATGCCAATCAACATTTGCATTGCTTTGTATTCCTGTGGATGCAAATGAGTGAATAGTGTTCGGTACCAACACACAAATGTTCTTGAGTAGCCAACTTTTCAAGCATCACTTATTTAAGCTGTATATAATAGGCCATGTTTGATGGACGTGAACTCTTTTGCCCTGTACTATAAATACTCAATGTACTGTATGAATCACTGACATAAGGTGAATTTTTAGTCTTCAACTCCATTTGGAATTTAGTTTGGCTATATCACTCATACTTGATGATGATGATAATGATATTAATGGAAGATTCAAGGACGGTTTCTAATCACTTTGCTCATGACACCACACAACTGTAGGTTTGGGACTGCCGTGACACCGTGGGAACGTATGTAGTCAGCTGATTGGTGACCAAACCCTTGATGTCCATACTTACTGTAACAATGTTTTCTTATTCTAGGGGGTTGTTTGTTTGTTTTGTTTTGTTTTTAATCCGATATGATTTATTTGAGAATAAAGTGAGCAATTCACATGGATTCTGCTTCTATTCATAGTGCATTAGTCATGGCTTCTACAGCAAGCCAAAAGACAGAGAGCGCGCGCGAGAGAGAGAGAGAGAACGCGTTGCTATGGCGACCGCTTGGGAGGCGGCTCCTTAAATCCAGACTTGAGAAAAGCGCAAATATCCGAGCAGGACTCTGTGCTGGTATGCTGTCACTCCAGCCAACCCTTTCGAGTGCGTGATGCTGAGCCAGTGTCGTACGATTTTCTGCTGAATCCTGAAGTACCGCGTGGTATTTAGGGAAATACAGGAACATTTAGCTGGTCACTCGGGAGGATGGACTGGAATTCCGCTGGTAAGCATCTTGAGGGTTATGGGGGAGGCTCTTGCGCAGGATTAAACATGACATAACTTACCCACATCAGCTAAACTTACTACTACAAACCCTGTCTATCCACGTTTTTAGCGTTCATGCAGTTTAATGAGACCACCAGCCGTTTTCAGTAGCAGTTTTCCACAGTCAGCGTTCATGAGTGGGCAGTAAACGCAGTGTTTATAGTAACTGCTGTATCCTACAGTAACAGTCTCTGTTTGACTTCTGCTCCGATTGCGTCCACAGCATTAATAGGCAGCAGTGCATTACTTAATTACTCAGCCAATGCGCATTCCTCCATTCAGTCAGTTCCCCTGAATCTACATCACTACAAGCACTCTCTCTTCATCTTCATCATCATCATCACATTCTACTTAATCTTTACTTTACTTACTTTAGTCATTTAGCAGACGCTTTTATCCAAAGCGACTTACAAATAAGAAAAAGTAATTCAAAGCTGAAAGTCTATAAACACTATATACTGTATATATATATATATATACACACACACATTTAAGAAAATAAAAGAAATTAAATGACAAATGCGTACAGCAACATTTCAAAACTAAACATTTGAATGAAAACAAAAAAGATAAAGCTAAAAACAATTCAAAATATGAAAAGAACAAAAGGTATAATGATTCTAACATAACACTAAGCCAAACACCAAAAAACAACTACATATGTGTATGTACAGCCACACACACATACATACATGTACATATATATATATATATATATATATATATAAATACATTCAATATATATCTATATTATTTCATTTCCATTTTGTATGTCGAAGTACTGAAATAACTCAAATGAAATCAAACTAAAACTTAATAAAAAGCCTATATAGACATAATAATAAACGAATAAAATGACAACATTACTGTAACTAAAACTAAAATGGATAACTAATACAAATCAAACTACATTAGTTTATCAGTAATCCTAAAAAAATAACTCTGAGCCAAACACACATGCTAAAATAACTACAACTTACTGACACATAGTAAGAAATGGTTATAACAAACTGAAACCGAAGTGAAACAAGTAATAGGATTATAATCTTTACCCTCATCTTTATTGTCATTATTATGATCTTCTTTCATCAGCATCATGTTCTTTTTTCAGAATTTCTCCTTCATAAATCATAGACTATGGAACTTATTGTTTGTTTTTCCCAGTTTTTAAAGTAGCCTATTATAGTTATGACTTCACTATGTAATTTTCAATGTTATGGAAGGGCTAAGATTAGGGTTAGGGTGGAGTGTAGCTATAACTGATATACAATAGCATTTGATTGTATAATTTGTTGTATGTTGAGGCTTATATTTCATACTTCATAAGCTGTGAAAGCAATATAATTTTGCTTTACAAACTTTTCATACATAAAACATCAAATAAATGTATTTCAAAAGATTATCCACCATGCCATGTTTTTCTTTGAAGGAGAAGTAACATAGTAGTAAGTGTAACTAGACAACGGCGTGACGTAGACCCTTCTCAAAATTTTGCTTGTGAAAAAGATGCTTTTTTTTTTTTTTACTTTATTTATAGGAAGTGTCTTTGTTCATGGTTAGTTAAGTTCTCACAGAGAAGTCATGACTTCAGCCATTTCTTGAAGGTTGTGGTCTTTGAAAGATCTTCTGCATTTCTCTTTTTGTCCAACAAAAATCCAAAATTATAATACTTCTCAAATATAACACTCATCATCAACCTTCTGAGTGTCAGTTTACATTATCTGCTAGTTACTCTAGTTGACTGTTGTCCTACTTGCACAAAACTGATACTGTAAGATGAGACAAGTCACGTTTATTATGTTGTCTTTGTGTTTGCATGAGCAAGACAAAAAGAAGTTCCACATGTTATAACCTAATATAGATTATTTGCTGAGGCTGAACATTTTGCACACAACTTCTGATATAAAAAGCATTAGTCTCATTAGGGTTACTCTTCTTCAGCTTTGTTTCTAGCGGACTGTATTTGTCTTTGTGACAGTTTGGCTCTCTCCACCTTGGAGCTGATTTGTCTTCACATCTCGATCATGTCTCCAGTCTACTCACCCCCCAAATACACCACTGGCTCCACCCTCTTAAGTCCATACAGTTCCTATGACCCCTGCGATCCCACCCTGGGATATATTATCAGAGGTCAACCTCAGCTTTCCAGGTATGCTCCTTCCACCTCCCGCTACCTGAACCCCAGCCCTTGCCTCGCTCGAGGCGTCCTGTTCTTTCCCCAGGAGTTTGAACGTGGGCGAGCTGCACCCCATTCAGAGCCTCACATCGGCCGCCGGAGTGAGAGCTACAGTAGGATGCAGGTTAAAGGTCAGTTTCCCCGAATTAATGGGCCAAGGGGCCGTTCGCCTTCAAGGACTGGATATACCTGCATGTCTCCCCTATCGAGGCAGCGCAGGTCGGTCAGTCAGTCAGACCTGATGCGGGAGCTGGCCACACTGGAGATCTGTGACCATGGAGCAGTGGAGAGAGGAGTGTACACAGTCAAAGAGAACACGATCAGGGGACGGACAGATTACTCAGGGCCTCTCTACTGGAGCTCAGAGGTGAGTTTGATTGTTTTGTATACTGACAATAAACAAAGAATTTTGCGTTCAACACAAGCTTAGCATGTGTCGTATAATGTTGATTACCACAAAAAATACTTCTTTAAAAAAAAAGTAAAAAAAAAAAAAATCTATCTATCTTGTTTAAGATAAACCAAATGTTTTTCTGCTGCTGTGGCCATGAGATTATTTGGAAGTATTGTAAATGGAGCCAATTTGTGGATGATTTAAAAGCAGAAATGATAAGCTTATTATTTTAAAAGCACTCACATGAACTCTTTCAGTAAAATGAGTGTGTTATTTGAACTGTAGAGCTGTTTAAATTTTACAGTCATTTCAAGGTTTATGACAGTCCTGGAGTGGTGCTCTCCAGCAGAGTTTATCTCTATCTCAAATCAAACACATCTACATGTATTTTTACATAATCCTGAAGACTGTGGTTAGATTAGGTTTTCAAACATTTTTGTTTAGTTATGGAGCTAAACTCTAGTTTATGGTGTTGCATTGTCTTGGTGACAAAATGTAAAAATTATATAGAACTTGATAAGGTTATTAAGCAACGGTTATTATGGCCATACTATTGAAACTAGTGAGTGTTTTAACATTTATGGATCGGCCCCAATCAATCCCATTGTAACTGCCTTACTTTAATAAAAATGAAAGGTTGGCACACCACAGCTCCAAAAATGACAAAATGTTTATTTCATGTTCTCACCTCCATGATGATTCTGATTGTATTTGTATGTTTTTGATCAGGTGTGTATGTAAGACTGTTGTGATTTGTTCTTTGTATTTTATGTTTTCACTTTTATTTCAGCTATGCAATTTGTAGCCCGATTATTTAGTTTAGTTTTGTGTGTGTGTGTGTGTGTGTCATGGGATGTAATTTCTGCTAGTATTTAAGGGCTCAGTAGCATATGTGTTCATTGTCTGTTGAAGAGCCATACGGCTCGAAACGTCACCTGTGGTGAGAACATGAAATGAGCTGTGGTGTGTCAACTTTTCCTTTTTCTTAATGTTTACAATATTTGAGCACCCTCATTGAGTTTTTTTTGCCCATCGGATGTGCACATTTTTATTTATTTTTTTGTAAACTGCCTTACTGTATCCTACATTTTTACTCTTTAAAAAAAAAAGAAAATTAGAGAAATTGTGTGTGTGTGTGTGTGTGTGTGTGTGTGTGTGTGTGTGTGGTGATCAGCATTATGATTGAACTGAACTTGTACTGATATTACTTTTAATTGTATTGTTAGTCAGCATATTACTGTCTTTAATATTCATATTCATATTTTATTATTATTCACAGTAATGTAAAAAAGTGAGGCATTGCTGTAATTACTGAAACCACTATTAGCCCTGTAATACTCAAATTTACTCACTAGAGTGCGCTGCTTTCCTCTTTTAATTAAAGCTGCTGTATTTAAGGCTGTATTTAGAGGGGCATAGCTATCTTTGATGATAGGTTAAGATGGTACAGAAATATTATTCAAGAAAACAAAAAAATCTATACCTGCATTATAGCACACTGATTTGAAAGGACTAATGGAAAGTATATATTTGAATGATTGGTTACATTTTTATCAGGAAAAGCCAGAAACCTTTAATGTTGTAAACTTGAGTATTTGCACTCTTAAAGAACAACACATGCAAAATTGTTATTATTCAATTTATGAAGGCTCTGTAAATGTATCGTTATAGATTATGTCGTATAACTTTTTCTACAGTATAGGCTACTGATTTGATTGGAGTCTTTATTTCTTGTTCTTTAAAAAAAAAAGAAAATTTGAGAAATTGTGTGTGTGTGTGTGTGTGTGTGTGTGTGTGGTGATCAGCATTATGATTGAACTGAACTTGTACTGATATTACTTTTAATTGTATTGTTAGTCAGCATATTACTGTCTTTAATATTCATATTATTATTTTATTATTATTCACAGTAATGTAAAAAAAAGTGAGGCATTGCTGTAATTACTGAAACCACTATTAGCCCTGTAATACTCATATTTACTCACTAGAGTGCGCTGCTTTCCTCTTTTAATTAAAGCTGCTGTATTTAAGGCTGTATTTAGAGGGGCATAGCTATCTTTGATGATAG